GTTGCAATAAATATAGAAAGATGATTGTTAATCGTGATGTAATATTTAGCGCATCACATGACTTCCGTAGTAAGTTCGTTCTAATTGGTCGATATTAACGGCCAATTTGTTGGTCCACGGTTTACAATCTCACACTATTTATTTTCTGATTTTTAAATATTATTGATTATTATTGTTATAATTAAATATTTTATTTATTATTTAGTTCAAAAATTATATGAACTTTCATGATAAATAAAATTTATGGATTAACACAAGATCCAGCTACAAAAGAATATATTTTTGTAATGGAATACATGGAAAATAGAAGTCTTCAAGATTATGAAAATCAATATTCAAAGGGAAGAAATGAAAAATATGGAGAATGTCAAACATGCAATAGATATAATACCTATAAGGCATGGTGTCAGTCATGTGATCCAAAGCTATTAACTGAAGGATGGACTAGTGGCAATGAAACATTAGATGAGTTGATTAAAAGTTTACAACTTAAAGCAACTACATATAACTATAGTGATTATCTTCAATGGATTCCTTATAATGATTTAACAAATATCAAAAAGATAGGTGAAGGTGGGTTTGCAACTATATCCAAAGCCACTTGGTTAAATGGTAAGAGAATTATAAATTATAAAAATAATGAAAGATATAATGAAGATATGCCTGTGGCATTAAAAAAACTACATGGTTCACAGAATATTTCAGATGAATTTCTTAATGAGGTAAATTATTTTATTTTCTATTTATTTTCTGATTTTTAAGTACTATTGATTATTATTGTTGTAATTAAATATTTTATTTATTATTTAGTTCAAAAATTATATGAACTTTCATGATAAAGGATCTATAATTCATATTTATGGATTAACACAGGATCCAATTACCAAAGAATATATATTTGTAATGAAATATATGGAAGATGGAATCTTCAAAATTATTTAACTAAAGATTTTAAAAATTTAAAATGGGAAAACAAAATTGAAATTCTTAAACAAATTATTAAAGGTTTAAAAAGTATTCATGAAAACAAAATTATTCATCATGATCTTCATAGTGGTAATATTCTTCAAAATAATTGGGTTACACATATTGCAGATTTAGGATTATCATGTCTAGTTAGTCAAACATCATCATCAAACAAAAATAATATATGTGGAGTACTAACATATATTGCACCAGAAGTTTTAAAAGAGAAACCATATATAATGGCATCAGATATATACAGTTTTGGAGTTCTGATGTCTTTAGTATCAACTGGCCAACAACCATTTAATAATTTGGCACATGATGAATATCTTGCAATGGAAATATGTAAAGGTTCAAGACCCAAATTCTCAAACAATACACCAAAATTTTATATTGAACTAGCATTCAAATGCATGGATGCTAATCCAGATAAACGTCCAACTGCTGGAGAAATTAAAAAGATTATCAAAATTTGGGATGATTCACTTAATGACTATGTAATGAATAATGATCTTGAAAAATATTCAAAAGAAATGCAAGATGAATTAAAATCAATAAGAAAAGGGTTTGAGAAAATGGATGAAATAAAGTTTAATCCTTCAACAATTACTGCAGTAATTCATCCAAATGCAATTTATACTAGCAGATTATTAAATTTTACAAACCTTCCCCAACCTGTGAATTCCAATAAAGTAACAATTATTGGTAATAATAATGGTAATTATTAATATTCAATTATTGATTATTTTCATTTTTATTAAAATTAACACAATATTTATTAATATCCACTCTTGTGATAAATATTTTATAGATTCTAAACAAATTGATTTAGCTATACCAAATGACCTACCTGAATAAGTTAAATCCTATTGCTTGTTATGTATTAAATTATTTATTATTTATTTTTATTTATCTGGCTACTGTAGTTTAAATATTTTTTTTTTTCATTTTGAAATTTGGGTGTCAAATATGTACATAAATAAAAAATAATGATTTTTGGCAAAAAAATAAATGTAATTTTTAATAATCATTGTTGTCATACATACATAACTGGAGTATTGTTTGTTTCTTATCTTTTCAAATCAATGGTTTCTTTTTTTATAGTATTAACAAATTGAAGTGATGTACTTATCAATATATCATATAATATATACAAAATTTAATACATGTATCTGAATAATTTAAATATAATAAAATTATACCTAAATTATCAAATAAAAAGCCCACATCTAATCTTGCTTGTTGAACCACTATTGCAGTCAACTTCTAGAAGAGGTTCCCCATCCTCCAGATTTGGTTGTCCCAAATGATTCTTTCCCCAAAAATACATAACAGACACAAATTACAGTATACTGATTGTGGGTTTTGTTGAATCAAACAATGCCAAACTTCTGGTCTTATTTGGAATCCTGACCTGGAATCTTAGATGCTTCCCCCAAATAGAAAGATATACTATGATACATTAAAAAATACCACCTTCAATAGATAGCTAGGTCCTGCTTGTGTTGGTACTAGCCACATTGATGTTTGAGAAAAGAAGAAATTTTCAAAATTAGAACCAGATACTGGCCACCAAACATGCAAACTATAAGAAATATTTATCAAAAACCACAACCTTGCCTTCGAATTTGTCTCCCTTTTTAAAAAGAAATAAGTGTGTAAGGCCCCTCTCAGATCTTCTACACCTTGATGATGACCAAAGACAAATGGGCTCACTTGCATGTAATGGCAACACACCCATTGCACATCTACATGCACTACCACAATATACCAGGATAAGTTGTGGAAGGACCCTGGGATGGTGAATATTATCTAACCAGAAATCAAATGTATCTTCATCTAGAAGTTTTCCCATTGCTTCATTATAATTGTTCTCTGCAATTATGTGTAATTCATCACAAATTTCCTTAAGCTTTTTATGAACCTTAATGTATCATCTAACCTATCAAGATTTAGATATCTTATAAATCTATTCAATTTATTGATCCTTTTTAATCTTTAACCATTCTATTATCTTTATATAATTGATGTTTTCCCTCTTTATACCATGTTTTGTTTACTAACATTATGTTTGTAATTTTTACTGGATCCTTGATTTGCTTTATAATTTTACCAATCAGTTCTGATGGTAATACAAACTCTGGTGTTTTCACCCCTACATACTTGATTTTTTCCCTGACCTCTACTATATAGATCACCAGCTTCAAATGGGTCCCTACTATCATTGAGGGATTTTAATGCATTGCCAATATAGCTGAAAATTTGAGTAATATATTCAAACATTTTTGGTTTATTTTTATATAGATTGCAGAAATGTTTAATTTGAAAATGTTATTAATTTATTAGTTTTATTGTTTTGGTATCAACCATACATGATGGTGAAAGTCATTTGATAAAATTCGAAACTTTCAAAAAAATCACATTTTCGAAATCGAAATACCCTTGGCGAAATTAAAATCAAAATCTAAAATTCAAAATCAAAATCAAAAATCAAAATCAAAATCAAAATTCAAAATTGAAATCTAAATTCAAAATCAAAATCGAAATTCAAAAAATTGAAATAAAAACACTTTAAAGACATTAATGCAAATATTACAATTTTCGAATTTTGATTACAAATTTCGATTTTGATTTTGATTTTTGATTTTGATTTCGAATTTTGATTTTTTCGAAACCTGTTAGGGTATATTCAAAATGTTTGAACCTTAATCGTCGAAATTATTGTCGAAACAAAACTATTTCGCCATCATGTATGATTAATGCAAAAATGAAAAAAAGTTATTTATTAATTTCGATTTTCGATTTTTTCGAAACCTGTTAGGGTATATTCGAAATGTTTGAACCCTAATCGTCGAAATTATTGTCGAAACAAAACTATTTCGCCATCATGTATGATTTTTTTATCATTATTATTATTATTATTACATTTAATATTATTCCTGAAAAAAATAAAGATTAACTATTAATTTTTTATTTTAAATAATAATAGTGCGCAAGTATTTTTTCATTACTACAGTCAATATCATTGTTTCTGAAAAAGTATTAACTATTAATTTTCATTTTATTTTAGATAGTAAATGGGTGTAAGTGTTTTTTCAATATTATTATTGTTTAAAGCAATTAACTGTTTGTTGTTGATTTTTTCAATTCTCTGAAAAAAAAGGTTCAGTTTGCTGGAATTGGGGCCTAATTTTAAAGTAGTTAATAAAA